GTATGTAGCCAGCAGCCAGCGTGAGCAGCCAGCAGTCGCAGTGAGAGGCCGTCCAGAAGCCGGCAACTGATCTGCCTCTCCCGGGAAGAGCGCAATGATGGTGCCAACTTGGGCTAGTGAAGCAACATCCTCCACAACTAGACTAAAGAACAAAATGACAGCAACTTGTCTGTTCCCCTTCCCCCAATTCCCCAGCGCTGTTCCCATCCCCCCAACTCCCAAATAAAAATCTTAAAAAAAACAAAAAAAAAAGAGTTCAGGCTCAAAACCTGTATCAGCTCCCTTTGCTCTTTCTTCGTCATCCTGAGCCTCAATGTTCCCACCTACAAATGGGATAGTCATTCCCTGGAAGGGTCATCCTCGTGAGGAGTCAATGAGGGGTTGTGGGAGCAGGCGAGGCACACAGCAAGTGCTCCAACGCCAGGGCAGGCAGAGGCAGGAGAGTGGAGAAACCCCAACCTCAGCAGCAACTGAGCTTACTCACTTCAGCCCTGATGGGAATTCTAACACTTCCTCATGTCTGACCCAAAGTCCCCTTTCTACATACTTATGTGTGGCCTCTCCTCCAGGAAGCCTTGCTGGGCTGCACCAGAGGCATGCTACCCTTTTCATGGAGTTGCCTCAGCCCCACCCCAGCTTCAAGGTTCCTGTCTTCATCCCATTCCAGGACTTTGAGAGCTCCCAAGGGCGAGGACAGGCCCAACATTCTCCCACTGCACACATGGGGCATGAGGGATGGGAGTGGCGAATGAGGAGTCCCCTCCAGTCCCACGGGTCAAATATCTCCTATGGGACAAGGGCCAGAGGGGGGCCTGGCATAGAAGGACCAGATGCTGGGACTTAGGCCCAGAAGACTGTAGGATAGAGCCTCCTCTTTAAGATTTAAAGAGCCAATGACACACATTAACAAGGCTGTGTCCAGAAGCCAAGAGACAGGCCAGGGGTAGCTGTGTGCTTCTGACTCCTGCCTATCGCATCTCCTACGGGTGTCTCTGGGGCCCTCCATATCTGTCATTACAGGCTCAATGCTGCGTCTCTGGCTCTGAACTCAAGGTTCCTGCTCCACAGGCCGGCATCATCACTGCCTGCGGACCTTACGGGAGATGCCAGGCAGGTCCCTACATGAGACGTGAGCTTTCCTGTTGCCACATTTTTTCCTGTGCAGGTCCCTACACTTGAAAACCACCCCTCCCATTTTTCCCTGGGAAACCTGTCCACCCTATCAGCCTGGCTCAAATGGATGCTTCTTCCAGAAAGCCTTTCCCAGTTTATTCTGTCCTTTCCTCGGAACTCAGGGGTCATCCTCAGGCAGCTGAAGACTTGGAGTGGCCTGCTGCCACAGACAGGGCAGTGCAGTGGGTGGAACTCCAGCTGGAAAGCACATGGCCTGGACTTCAGTGGCTCTGAATCCTCGAGCAATCCCCTAACCTCTCTGGGAACATCTCCCATTCAGTGCAGTGACCATGCGACACCCTGGGAGACTCTGACTTGAAACCTGCAGGGAATGGGGGAACATGGGTGCTCAACAGGGTCTCCCATCACCAACCTCCCATTATTACGGAAGAGAGAAAATTGGTGTCCGGCATCTGAAGTTAAAGACCCAAGTCAGAGAATATGGAGGTTGGAAGGCCTGGACAGCCCCCCTGAATATAGAAACCATGCCCCCACCTTCCAGGGCAGCTGGTGGCTGCTGGTTGACCTGGGGCCACCTGCAAGGAAAAGCTCCAACCAAAGAGCGCTGCACTGAGTGCTGACAACACAGGGTCTTCTTGGAACTTCCTACTGCAGCCCATGATTTCACCAACTGGGTGCCAAGCCTTAAGAAACACCAGCGGGCCGGCCGAGTGGCACGTTGGTTAAGAGTTGGCTTGGGATGCCAGCTCTGAGCAACAGGGCCCCGGTTCAGATCCCACATGAGGGCCAGTGACACTGCACCCTCTACAGCTAAGATGGTGAACAACAGCTCGACCTGGAGCTGGGCTGCCTAGTGGCCCCTGCGTGGGCATAGGCTGCAGAGGAGCTGCAGTGGGCTGCTGTAAAGCTACTGTGAGTGGCTGGCAGCCTGCGTGAGCTGCCAAGAGCCGCAGTGAGCAGCTGCCCAGGGCCGTGCAACTGATCTGCCTCAACCGGGAAGAGCGCAATGATAATACCAACATGAGCCAGTGAAGCGACGTCCTCCACAACTAGACTGAAGAACAAAACGACAGCAACTTGTCTGTTCTCCTTCCCCAATTCCCCAACGCTGTTCCCCTCCCCCAATTCCTCAATAAAAAAAATTAAAAACAAAACAAAACAAAACAAAACCCCACCAGCATATATCCCAAGGCTGGAAGCAAAGGCCAGGACCCTGCCCCTGCAGCTGCTCCGGGCCTGAAGGGCCTTGCTCTCCAGTGTCCTCTGACAGGGAGCTCACTACCTCCCTACAAGACTCTTCTGCAAACACCACAGTCACATGGTAGCTCTGATCAGAAAGCGCCTCCTTGCTTCAATTGAGTCTCTCCGCCCTGAAGCCTCCAGCCCCGTGCCAGCTCTGCCCTTGGGGCCCCTCAGGACCCACCCCTTCTCTGCCCTGCTCCCCACGACCCCCACCCCGTGCCACAGGAAAGGCGCTCACCGCAGCCACGGCTCCAGTGTCCGGGTCGTCCACGGAGAAGGAATTGCTGTTCCGTAGCCTCGAGCGCCTCTTCTTTAGCAAGTCGGCGTCGCGCACGTGGGAGAAGGAACCATGCGCCCGGGGCGGGGGCACAGGCCCGGCCTCCCCATTCACTGACAGCCGTCGCAGCCGCACGCCGCCCACCGCACCCGGCGCCCCGGCCCCGTTCACCAGACCCTCTGCCGGGGGCACCAATGCTCGGGCTCCGGGGCCCTCCGCAGGGGCCTCTGCAGAGCGGGCCTCCTGGGTGGCCTCGGCCCCGCGGTCCTTGGAGGCCACCTCCGGGGCTGGCCTGTCCGCGTGGCTCGCGGCCTCCTTGGGCTCCTCGGGTGTCTCGGCCCGGTGCTCGCGTAGCCGCTGCGCCAGGCCGCCAGCGTCCAGGTCGTCGGGCGGGTTGGGCTGGGCGCTGGCCACGCGGTACGTGCCGGCGCCGCCACCGCCCTCCAGCTGCACCAGCTGCAGCTCCTGCCCGGTGCAGAAGGCACGGATCTGGCACAAGTACGTCATGACGATTAGCTTGTCGGGCACCGACAGCAGCACCATGTCAGCTGGCTCCAGCAGCCGCGACACGCCCAGGGCCGCGAAGCCATCGAAGGCCTAGGAACGGTGTGCTCGGGGTTAGTGGAGGCGGGAGTTACCCAGCAACGCCGCGGCCCCGCCCTAGACCACCCAGGGTCCCCGCGGCCTGCAAGCCCAGGTTTGCCTAGTAACGCCCTCACCCTCCTATTGGGGGAACTGTAGCAACAGGGCCCGCCCTCGCGTTACCCAGCAACTGCACACCAAAGGGTAGTTTTGGAAAAACCATCTAGTGGAAATATGCTTTAAAAAAACAAAATTAAACTAAGGAAAACAAACAATTTAAAAGACCAAAAGGGTAAAAAGTGGCAGAACTTCCAAAAGCCACAGCTGGGGCCCAGCAGGCCGCAGATTCTTCTGCAGACAGACCGATCCCAAATCTTGGACGTAGGCCTGGCTCTAGACCATCTCTCCCTCCAAGCATTGCTCCGTTCCCCTCTCACCTGCTTGTTGTTCTGTTTGATATTCAGCGGGTCAAGGGTGGCATAGTCGCTGCGGAGAGAGCAGTGGTCAGAGGCTACGTTCCCATTGCCCTCATGGCAGGCTCCCCAATTCATTCCCACCCCCTCTGGCAGCTCACATCTTGTCTGGGTAGAATCGGTGCAATATGGCACAGAAAGCCAAGCCGTTGCGCCAGGATGTAGTGAAGTTGGTGACACGGACACCACGGTAGCCAGCAGTGACTTCCTGGCACCACTCCAGTAGGGACTGGCTGGAGCTGACCAGGACAGGTGATGCCTGGGGACACAGGGATGGGCTTAGGGAATGTGAATACGGGACCTGTGCCCTCTGCCCCAGGGCATAAAACAGCCCCAGCTCTGGGTTTGCAGGGGTCACCAGAGACCACTGGCCAGAGCCTTGGGACCAGGCAAAGGGGTTTCCAGCTCTGGGGTTATCTACCAAGGTCTTCTAAAAGGTCAGTGGCCCCCAGGTAAGATCAGAGGTCACCAGCAGCCACACCTCAGGTCAGCCCAGAAAAATCAGCTTAGGGATGTCCCACTCCATGCAGCCCAGGGAAGACAGGGTTGGGGAGCCAGGGCATCCTGAGAGAGGAAGGGGTGAGGGGGCTCCTTGAAGCTGAGCCCGTCCCACCCCACCCCAGTTGACCAGGTGGGTCCATGCAGAGCCGCCGTTAGCTCAGCCTCAGGTTAGTGGGAAGCAGACGACTGGGCCCTCGGCGGCCCCCATCCCTACCTGGCTGCCCGGCAGCCTCCTGTCCTCTTCAGGCTCCTTTGGGGAAGAGGGCCCTGAGGGCCTGGGCACCCCAGCCCCTGCCCCATTGGCCACCTGCGCCTTAATCGGGCTGGCCTCTGGGAGGCTTCCCTCAGCTTCTTCTCCCTTCTCGGTTCCCAAGACCCCAGCCTCTGCTTCCTGGGCCTCGAAAATACCAGATTGGTTCTCTGGAGGCCTGAAAACTTCCATCTCTGTTTCCTGGGCCTCCCAAATCCCAGACTTGGCCTCTGAAAACCCCCAAACCTCAGCCTCTGCTTCCTGGACCCTCAAAACTGTAGTCTCTGCCTCTGTTCCCTGGGACCCTAAAACTCCATGCTTAGTGACTGGGGCCCTTAAAGCCTCATATATGAAGGTCCCCAAGAGCCCTGTCTCTGCCTTTGGGACCCCTGAGATCATAGTCTTCTCAGCCTCCAGAACTGTAGTTTCTGTCTGTTGAGTCCCCAGTCCCTCAGCCTCTGCCCTTCCAACCTGTGGCCCTGAAACCCCTGAATCCCCCACCACTGTCTCCATCCCTGGGACTCTTAAACCCTCAGCTTCTATCTCCTGGGTCCCCAATATCTCAGCTTTTGCTGTCTCAGTCTCCATCCTTGGGACCTCTGAATTCCCAGATGCTTTCTTCTGGGTCCCCAATATCTCAGCTTTGGCTGTCTCAATCTCTATCCCTAGGACCCCTGAATCCCCTACCTCTGTTTCCTGGGCCTCTGCTACCTCAGATTCTATCTCTGGGACCCTTGAACCCTCAGCTGCTATCTCCTGGGTCCCCAATATCTCAGCTTCTGCTGTCTCAGCCTCAAACCCTGGAATCTTGGAAGCCCCTAACTCTGTTTCCTGGGTCACTGAAATCTCAGATTTTATCACTGAGCTCTCTGAATTCCCCACCTCTATCTCCTGGGTCCCCAATACCTGAGCCTCTGCCCTCTCAGCCTCTATCTCTGGCACCTCAGAATCTCCTACCTCTATCTCCTGAGCCCCCAATATTGCATGTTCTGCTATCTTAGCTCCTATCCTCAGTACTCCTGAGCCCCCAGATATCTCCTGGGTCCCCAATATCTCAGTCTCTGCACTCCTAGTCTTAATCTCCAGAACTCCTGAACCCCCAGCATCTGTTTTCTGGGTCCCCAGTACCTCACACTCTGCCATCCCAGCCTCCGCCCCCAGGTTCCCTGGAACCCTCACCTCTGTTTTCTGGGTCTCCAGTTCCTCAGGTTCTGCCATCCCAGCAGCCTCTGACTCCAGGACCCCTGATCTCGCTACCTCTGTCTCCCGGGCCCCCAATATCTCAGCTTCTGCTGTCCCAGTCTCTATCTTTGGGAACCCTGATCCCCCTGCTTCTGTCTCCTGGGTCCCCTGAACCTCTGACTCTGCCAACCCCGTCTCTGATCTCAGGACCCTCAAGTCCCCAGTTTCTGCCTCCCAGATCCCCAAATCCTTAGACACTGTCCCCTGGTCAGCTGCTGGTGGGGCTCCCTGGTACCTGCTCACCTGGGGCCTGGTGCTTGCTGCTCCAACAGAGGGACCCTGCTCCAGGCCTGTACCCCCAATACCAGAGGCCCCACCCCTTACCTCTTCATCCTCTCTCCCCTGACTTGCAGCAGCCCTGACTTCCTTGGGGTCACTGAGATGCATGGAGAACCCTGCAGGCTCTGCCGGGAGTGGGCTCTGGATTATGGGAGACTCATCCCCGGTCCTGACCCCTGTCCTCCCCTGAGAACCCCTTGGAGGAGCCTCAGGTGTCCCCTTGAATCTTGCCTCAGACATCACCCCTTTAGCCTCTGGTCCCTTAGTATCTATATGTTTCATCTTTGACCTCTGCTCAGCATCCACTTGACTAACTTCTGAACTCTCTTCAGCCTTCCCAGCTGTGACCTCTGATCTCTTAGTGTTCACACCTCTAACTCCTGACCCCTGCTCGGTGTCCACCCCACTGGCCTCTGGCCGGTCCCCAATGGCTCCCTCCTCAACCTTGGCTTTCTGCCCTCCCAAAGAGTCTCTGCAGCCTTCGTCCTCGGTGCCTGGGCCTGGCCTGGCTCCCTGGACCTCTGTCCCTTCCTGAGGGCTTGCCTGGGCCTGGTTCTCCCCAGCAGAGCCCACTCCTGCTGGAGGAGCTCCTGAGGCTTTAGGGGCCTCATCCTTCCCTTGGGGGACTGAGGGCCAGGGGGCATCAGAGCCTTTCCGGAGCCGAGGGGCCGGGGTGGGGGCCATGTCCTGGGCTGGCTGTCTTGAGGACCTGAGGAGAGATCAGAAGGGGACATTGGAGGGATTCATTTGGCCCCCCACTCTCAGTCCCATGCTCCACCCTTCAGATTGCTGGGGCACTGGAAAGGCAGGTTGGTAGGGAGAGTGTAGCATCTTAATAGTGGGCAGGGGAAGGTGAGGCTGGTTCCAAAACTCACCTCGTCTCCGGTGGGGTTCCTGGGGACCTTGGGGCCTCAGGCCCCACCTGGCCCCCTTTTGTAGTAGCTGCTTCTGACCCTTGGCCCCGGGAGGCCCTGGCTGGGGGCGCAGGGGCACTCACAGGGGTTGAGCTGGTATCCTTAGCACTAGAAGGGCTGGCAGCTGGGGAGGAAGGAAGGGAGGGGGCACTGAGGCCTAGGACCTGGGACTGGAGGTCCAGTCCCCACCCAACCCCAGCCTGGGCCTCACCTGCCTGCTGGGGCCGTACTCGGCCCTCCTCCTCCTCCTCACAAAGTGTCTTCAGCTCCCGGGAAGGATCTGGGAAAGGGTTTTGGGGGATAGGGTCAGCCCACGGCAGGGCCCTGTAGGTCTGAGCCCCTCTGTCCAACTAGAGCGCTGGGCCTACCTGGGAAACGCCCCAGCCTCAGGGCACCGCCCCGGCCTGCGAGAAGAGACAGGCCCATGGATGCAGAGAAAAAGAGAACAGGACAGACAGAAAAAAAGCCTTAACAAGCAAAAGGGAGGGATAAAGAAGCGAGTCACTGAGCATGAGGGTGGGTGGTGAGGGTAGTGAAACTGGACTGCACCCCTCTCTGCACTTTTGGCCCAGCTATCATAGGGAAGGGGCAGAGCTGGGCAGGCACCCACTCAGGGGTGAGGAGAAGGCCAGGGGCACGGGGAGGCACTGGGAACCCGTCCTGCAGGACTCAGCTAAGAACCCAGGCCACCACAGGACCAGGGGCCCAGTATGGACAATCAGGGCTGCAGGGCAGTTTGGGGCTGCCTGGGCAATAGTGAGCTCCCATCACAAGCTGGCCCTGCCTCCCACATGGCAAATGGCTTATGGCCTGGGTCATCGCCCACCCTCCCTAGGTCTTGGTGGTCTCAATCCATGGCAGACTGTGAGCCTACCTGGCTGGGGCACATGAGCCCGTGCCTCAGGGGCCCCTGGACCATTAGCTTCCTCCTCGTCACTCTCAGCAAAGTCATCCAAGTTGCCCACGTCACTAGGCTTCACACTCATAAGGCTCGCAAGACTCTGCATGTCATCGTCCCTGGGGATCAGAGGTCAGGAGTGAGGGCTGGGGTCAGAGGTTGCAGACTGGGGCCAAGAGGGCTGGTGGGCACTCACGTGGCACGGCCCTCCCGCAGCAGCACCCCCGAGAGGGTGAGGCTCAGCTCCGCATGTACCACCTTCACGGACTTGGCCTTCAGCCGCAGCCGCAGGGGAACTTGGACAGGCACGGGCCCCGCATGGCGGGCCAGGTCCACCTCCGCTGAGGCCAGCACCTTCCGCTGCCCCTTAGACTCCTGTGGGCCGGCGGGAGGGGGAGGGGGAAACGAACATCAGTGCTGCCTGAGTCCCCAAGACCCCAGGCCCCAACCCACCCCAGTCACTCACATTCTCAATAATAAACGTCCACTCTTTGGCCTCATACTGGTCCACGTGGGGGTCCTGGGAGAAAGGGACACTGGTTGGTACAGGGGCTGCTGGGGTAGGAGCAGTGCAGGGAGAAGGGAGCAGTGCTGGCTCAGGAGGTGTTGGGTTGGGGCCTTCGCACATGCTGGTCCATCTTGCCTGGGAAGTCCCCCAGCTTCTCCTGATCCCAGCTGTCCCTCCTGCTGCATGTGGCAGGTAAATACAACCTCCTCTAAGGTGACCTCCTGGCCACTCACGCTGAGTAGGCCCCTGCTGCAATTCTTGGTCTCACCCCTCTGTTCTTTACTATTTGGATAACCCATCAGGGGACCCCTGTGGTTGCCTGGGGCTGTAATCGCCCACCCAGTCCCTTCCATGTTTTGGGTTAGACTCACCCTGTAGAGGGTCACGGAGATGTCCACATTTTCAGGTACCATCCACACCACAGTGCCCCGGTATGGGTTCTGGATGCCTGGCTGCCAGCTGTGGGCCTACAATGAGAAAGCAGTCTGAGTCCTCCTCCAATCTTAACTCCCCCCCTCCCCCTTTGCCCTCGTCTCCAACCTTGACCCCATCTTTCTCTGCAGTCTGTGGATTCTGATCTGAACCTGACTCCATGCCCCCATCAGCCCTCACCTGCTTTACCCACACCCCTTCACTGGCCCCACCCCTAACCTGGACCCCCAGTCCACATCTCCCCCACCTTGGAGCAGATGCGTCGGTTCCGCCGGGTCCATACCACCACCAGCTTATCCGGTTGCCTGGGCAGGGTGGGAGAGGAAAGGGGGCTACTCAATCAGGCCACCCAGCCCCTCTATCTCCTCCCAGGTCTTCCCTCTACCCACATCCCCCTCCCCCAGGAGAGGCATGGACAGTCCCTTATCTGGGGCCACAGAGAACAGGGCGGGGCTGCTGAGGTAGGGTGGGGCCCAGGGCCGAAGGGCAAAGGTCCCATGTGGGTCAGCAGGGATTATGAAGAAAGAGGGAAACAGAGACATACAGAGAGACAGGCACGCATAGAGACAGAGAGATACAGAGAAACACGCAAGGACCCTGCAGAGAGAGAGACACAGGGAGAGACACACTTGGAGTAAAAGAAGTCCATTCGCTTATTTGTGGAGTGCATACTATAAACCCAGCCAAGTTTGGGGGAAGAGCAAAGGAGAGACCGACCCTTCTGGGGCTGAGGACAACGGAGGTGGAACAGTGCCAGTCAAGAAGGAAAATAACAAGCTGGCTTCCGGGATAGAGTCACTAGGGTCTCCTTGAGGTCTGGTGTGGGAGCAGAGACACGAGTTGGGGAGGGATGGGCTGTGTGAGGGTTTGGAGGAGGGCACCAGGTAGAGGGAACAGTAGGTGCAAGGTCTGAGGTGGGGGGCAGGCTTGGGATCAGAGTGAGGGGCAGAGGGTAAGAGGTGGTCAGAGAGGCAGAGGGTCAGCTCGTTATTAGAGACCCTCCCAGGGCTTTCCATGCCCAATCCTTTGCTGGGCCCAGGAGCCCCAAGAGTCAGCCACGCTCCCTACCTCTCAAACCCAGAGCCCTGGACCCTAGCTCTGCAGGGACCCTGGGTCCCATGACAGGCATCGAGGAAGGCTTCCATGAGGTGTTAACTGAGCTGAACAGCATCTGCCGAGGCAGACTAAGAGGAGAGGCAGAGATGTGAGGTGACAGAGAGCAAACTGAGAAGAGAGAGTGGCCTGCACAGGACCCAGTCCCAGACACGGAGCTAACACGGGGCTGGGCCTGGGATGGAGAGGGCACCTTTGGGTTAGAGGATCCAACTGCTGCCCAGGAGGGTGGGGATGGTTGAGGGGACCATCAGGGCGAGGGCAGCACAGGAGCCCTCCTTGCCTGTACCCAGTCCCATGCCAGACCACTTGGGTTCATCCAGTTCACTGCCCCTCTGGAGGCTGAGCCAAGATAAATGGTTCTCCTGTCAACCCCTGAGGATGCTGAGGCCCAGAATTTGGGGGCCAGGCAAGGTCACATAGCTGACCCTAGAGTCCTCTGGCCTGGAGCCAAACTCCCCTCCCCAACCCCAAACTGCAGGCGATGGCTGAACAAGGGTATCTATGGGGCCTTCCCAGAAAGGGGAAGTGGACAGGGGGTGACTAGGGAGGGCAGGGCCTGGCCACGGAGCCTGATTCAGGCTGGGCACGCCCTCCTAGGGAGCTGGGACCTGGGCAGAGGCAGCTTCCTAGCCTGGGCTCCAGGTTCAGAAGCCCAAAAGGCCCTGACGACTGTCCCCTGTGACTCATATGCACTGACATTGCCCACACCCTCAGCCTGCTGTCTAGGACCATGCCCAGAGTCCCCTGGCCTCACCCAGGATGCTGGGGTAGACTGTAGAAGCCATAAGCCAGAGTTCAAGTACCAGCCCTGTGCTGTGTTACCCCAGCCAACCCCTGAACTCTCTGGGCCTTGTTGAATGGAGTGAGCAGCCCTCTGGCTGGCCCAGTCAAGACCAGGGGTACAGCAGCTACCAAAGTGACCCCAGCCTCCTTTTTACCCCCCTCCCACTGGACCCCATGGTCCCTTCCTGCCCCCGGCAGCCCTTCCTCTTGGGAGCCTAAATTTAGCCCCCGCCTGGCGGGTGAGGTCCCCACAGCTGTGCCCTAATCCAGCCAAGGGAAGCTGACACCAATGAGCACGTATATTTAGGGTGTGACGCAGGGGCCTGGGCAGCTGCGATGGGGACATGTGAACAAGATGCCCCTGGGCTCTTCAGCAGCCCAGGGCGGGGTCCTACACCCCCTTATCTCTCCCCATCCCACTACCTTGCCCTTCCCAGACCCTCTCCTCCCAGGACCCACAACTTCCTAGGCCCTCAGGCCCCTTTAAGCTGCTCCCCGCCGCCTCCCTCCTTATTCCTCCCAGTGCTCAGTTTCCCCTTTTAAGGACATTGTGCAGATGAATCCAGCCTCCCAGAACCCAGTTTGGCTGAGGGGGGGGGGGCGGGGGGGGGATATTCCTCTGGCTCAACAAGTGGGCAGGAGAGGAGGGGGCTACATCCTTGTTCTGCACTGAACTGAGGTCCTTGGAGGTTTCTGTCCTAGCCCGCCAGCCCACACATCTCAAAACGTGTTCTCTTTCCTGATGCCCCCCTGAACCATCCCTCTGGCCAAAAACATGAGGCCTCCCTTCCCCCTCGGGGCCCTGAACGCAGCTGAGGGAAGTGTGGGCACAGATTCTCAGCCCGGAAGTCCTGACCTCCAGTCCCCCAAAGCTTCCACATTCCCCCCAACTCTAGGGGCCCCACAAGCTGCAAGGGCCCTTCTGAGTCTCTATGCCTGGGAAATTTGGGCCCAAGCTGGGGTAGGGGCCCCTTTAGCCATTGGGCTGGGGCAGGGTTCTCTTAGGCTCCAAGGACGGGAGTCCAGCCAGTCTGGGGGGTCCCCCAAGCCTCCATCCCACTCACCATTTCTTGCTGCACTCCACCACCAGCTCGTGGTAACAGGCCACAAACTGGAACTTGGCGGCCCGCTTGCCTACGCGCTGCAGGCGCTTCCACACCGAGGTCATGGCCCCCGCCGCCCCGCCGCCTGCTCCTCAGACCGGAGACTCCCGTTGGCTCGCGACCGCTGGCCTGGCCCAGGTCCCCATGGCCTCCCGGGTTCCTAGCCGCACCGCCCGCCCCGTCTGTGTGGAGGTGTCAGAGGCTCGGCCCCGGGACTACTGTCCCCGCCGCAGCCGCTGGGGCCCGCCTGGTGGTCTGGCAGAATTAGCGGGGTCGTCTGGGGAGCGTCGGGTCGCTGGAGCGCTGAGTGGCGACCGCGCCGTTTCCTGGAGCCGCACCCCCGTCGGAAGGCGGGCGGGGCTCCAAGGAGGGCGGGGGCCGGGAGGGGAGTGCGGGGGCGGGGCGGCCGGGCTTCCGGGGCCTCGCGCCGCGATCGCAGGGAGTTGGGGACACCGGGACCACAGCACCCGCTGGTTGCGCCCCGAGGTGGTGTGGATGCGCGTGCCTGAGAGAGGGCAACCAGCAATTTGGTGAAGCCCTCGCAAGCGCTGCCAGGGCTGCCTCCCTTCCTGGCCCGCAGCCCTGGGGGATACGTATTGGTGGCCCCCTTTCACAGGTTGGGAAACAGAGACCCAGGAAAGGAGGGAGACTTGCTCAGTGTCACAGTGCGTGTCTGGGCCAGAGCCAACTGTCCTCAACACTGGGATGGCAGGCTCCTGTTGCCACCCACGTCTGAACCGAGAGTCAGGGACCAACCTGTGTGGTTCTGAGGGCAGCACCCCCGTTGCCTTTTGGAATCAGCTGTCAGGTGGGAAGGTAATCCCAACGTTTCAAGCAGCTGAAGGTTCAAATCCTGACTTCCAACAAATGTGTGATCTTGAGCAAAGCACTATCACCCTGAGCCTCAGTTTCTACCTCTTAAACACGGATAACCATAGTTCCACCTTTTACAGTCATTGAGAGAATGAAACCTTGAAAATTTGTATTTGTACATGGAAACCTTGCATTTAGCATGCAGGCCAGCTGATTTTGTGAGGTTTCGTCAAGTGGAACCCGTTATCATGGATGGGAAAGTGTGTGTGCATGTTTACTCTCCCTCCCTGGGAAGCCTGCCCAGGGCGTTCACTGCTCTGTTCACACCTAGATTAGAGCCCTATCGCCTCCCCACCCGCCCCGCACCATAATGAGCTGCAGGTATCAGGTCCAAAGTTAGAGAACTGTCCTGGGGCAGCACAGCAGCCTGTTCACTCCCTGCCAGAGCCAACGCTATGCAAGGTTTATGAATAAACGGTAGCCTGGTGCTTGATAAACACTCGGTTTGAACAGGACGTCTGATCTGCCGAGAGTGCCGGCTGAGTTGTCTTCTGGAGGCAAGTGACTACAGCAGGGCATGGGTATGAGCAGCCTGAAAACTAAGTGTGCAACTTCCATGTCGTCTCTTCCTAGTCTCTTTAGGTTGTGGGGCTGTTGCTGTATGCATATGGAGGTCTGAGCGCCCATCGTCCCAAATGTGCAGGCTTCTTCTGGTGGGACTGACACCCAGGTTTGGTTCCCAGTCCCAGTGGCAGTGTGGTCCTCGGTTTCCTCTGTGAAAAAGCTTTTTACTTACAACCCTCAAGGTCCCAAGTGCTGTGGGGCGGGACCAGGCGGCCCGTGTGAGACTAAGTGCGGAAGGGGGCAGTGTCTGGAAGCCCAATCACCCCGCAAAGCCTGTCTTATGCACCCAAGCCTGGGGCCGTGGCTCCATCTCTCCTCCAGGGCTTGTCTGGCCCCTGGGAAGCCTGGGACACCTTCTGCTCGGCAGCTCTTTCCTACCCATAGGGCACTCACTAGGTCCCAGGCTCTTCCCAGAGGCGCCTTCCCCTCTCCCGCCAAGGGGCCCCTTGGCCCGCGGGTTCGGGCCCACCCATTTCCTGTGCCGCCCCAACTCCGCCCCCACTCAGGGTGGAAAGTTTCTCTCCTCAAGATGGGCGGCTCCTTCTCCTTCCTTCCCGGCGGGCCAGGAAAGCCCAAAGCGAGTGGGGAGGGGTGTTGGGCTCCCAGGCCTCCGGCCAGAGAAGGGAAGTGACTGGCCCGCAGTCTCAACCGCAGGCCCAGGCTGAGCCAGCTTGGACGCTCTGCAAGCCCGCTGGGTGAGGAAGGATTCGTACCCGCCACCGCCAACTTTTTTTTCACTCGGGGCCTCCTGCGCCACCTGCTGACGGAACGGGGGAGGGGGGGGCACTTGCCCAAAACACCGCTATTTTCCAGCCCCAGAGCCAGGCAATCAGAACACAGGAACGCTGAGAGCATTTATTTATCTATGCGCCCAGGAGGATGCCCCTAAACTTAAATATCCAGCATGGAGCCTTGGCCCTCCTGGCCGTGGGTGGGTGCAGGAATGGGTCCTAAAGCCCTTGTCTAGGGAGTGGAACCCGGGGACTAGAGGTGGGATGCTCCTGAGCCAGCAGCTGCCAACAGCAGCAATAGGTAAAAAGGAGATGGGCACCAGGCACTCATCCCAATCCCAGAGACGCCGAGGAGAGCACAAGATGCTTTGGGCCCCACTGTCAGGCTGAAGGTTGGCCAAGCTGGGGTGCACACATGTGAGATAAGTGGAGGTCCAGTGCCATGGGCAGAGGCTGTAGCCCAGATGCCTGCCCCAGAGCCAGCTAACCCAAGACAGGAGGGGGTTGGCAGCTATGCCTCTGAAGGACCCAGGCCTTGCCCTCCTGTGAGGTGAGGTGGTACAAGGGAAAGCAGGCACTACAGTCTGAGTACTTGCAAAGGGGTTTCTGAGCCTTTTGCGTGGGTACATGCCCCCTGCCAACCCCCACCCCCCAGCTCTTCAGAGGCTGATATGGAAGGCATCTTGCAGCCACTGGTCACGGGCATTGTGTGTCTGGGGCACGGTGAGGGGTGGCGGGTCTGGGGGCAGGCTGGCATCAGGAGGCTCGTCGTCATCAGATAGGCCAGCATCAGGTGGGTAGGAGCTGTCTGAGTGCAGGGAGGATGACAGGTCCTGGCACAGGCTCAAGTCTTGGCACAGGTGCTTATAGTCCTGGATTGACTCGTACAGGCCCCACAGCTGGCACAGCAGGGACATGTCCAGCTGCCGCAACCCCACCTGCAAAAGACTGAGGGTGGGCTGGGGTTGGGGTCCAGGCCACCCTCAGTCCAAACGACAGCGCTAGCCAATCTTCTCACACTTTCTAAGCACAAGTTTTTGTGGACATAGATGCCACTTGCAAGCTGTGAATATTTGGACAAGTCACTGATCCTCATTTGTAACATTCATCTAGCAGGATGAAATGAAAAAAGACGAGTAAAGCATTTAAAAATACATGGCAACTATTGCCATAGACGGTAATTATAATTGTTACCATATCCCCTCACTGAAATCCAAACCACACGTTTCTGGTTTCGCGCCACTGTGCTCTGCCCCGCCCCGGGACCCTCGTGCTCAGCAGCAGCCCTCCCCTCCAACCCCTGGACCGGGGCCCAGCTACTAACCATCTCCTTGCGCAGCGCCGCTAATGCCGAATCGAGGTTGACAGGGCGACGCAGGGCGGGGGGACCGGCGGCGAGTCCCGCGTTGGCGGCGCCGCGGGGCCCGTCCGGGACACGGGAGGCACGGCTCAGCTCGTCGTGGATGCGGCTGCGCTGGCTGTAGACGCGCTCCAGCTCCCGCCACGAGCCCCCGCTCGCGTTAAGGAGACCGCTGAGGCCGCGCGGTAGCGGCGGTAGCCCGGCCAGGGAACAGCCTGCGCCGCTCGGCGCCTCGGCCAAGGGCAGCCCATTCATGGCTGGTCCGGCGCGGACAAAAATGCCGCCTCCTTCCCCTGCAACGCTCCGCCCGGGATTCCACCCGCGGGCCCTGAACCCCGCGGCTCCTCCAGCGGAGCTCGGCCGCCGCCCGCAGGCCGCGCTTTGTTCCTTCCCCAACGCCTCCGACTCCGCCCCTACCCAACCCCCTCCGCGTGGGCGGGGCCTCTTTTAAAAGGGCAACGAATGTGGGACCCAGTCGCCCCAAGTCGTGGAAAGCCGAGTAAGGGGAACAGGGCACAGATAGAAGGGAGGAGGAAAAAGGCCAAAAGCGGCGGGCACGGTTCCTTCAGTTCTTTATGCTCCCTCCCCAACACTGTGTTTAATTATTCTGCCCAATTATAACTCCCAAGGAAAAGAATCTAGAAGTGGGGGTCAGAAGGCTGGGGTAAATCCATACTTGGTCCCTAATGTGAAACCTGACGCCCTGTCAGTGTCTGTATACCGGAGGAGGAGATGGGAAAGGATGACGGTGTCAGGACGCTTCAGGGAAGCAGCAGCAGTTACCAAGGGGACTGGAATCCCAATCTCACTCAAGGGCGGGGGATGAGCACTGGATGGCTGAGGAGGCTGCAGGGGTGCTGTGGAGGTCCATACCTCTTATTCCTGCCTCTGAGGAGGCAAGAATCACATAGTCCTCTCCCTCCCCCTCATCCTCTGAGTGGGGAAACTGAGCAGAAACAAGCCCAACTCATCTCTCAGGCCATCAAGGAGAGCAGGCAGCGGTAGGGCAAGAGGCCAAAAGCAGGAAAAAGGCGAGTGGCGCTGGGGCTGGCATGCACACTCAGAATCAAGAAAAGAACAAACCACACAAAAGGAATAGCTGTTTTTCTAGAGGGTTTTTCTCATGAGGGGGTCTCTTAGTGTTGCAGCTGTTGCAGGCTGTGCAGGGCCTCAGCACAAGCCCGGATAAGGCTACACAGCTGGATGCTAGTCTCCAGGGAGGTGCTAGAGCCCAGTTCAGCTGAGGCCCAAGTCAGCTTCTGCAGGAGGGCCTCCTGTGTGCAGGTCAGGATATCTGCATCTGGAGGCACAGCAGGAGGGGGCGGGACCTGGGCTGCCTTGAGCCCTGCTGCAGCCCCCTCACAGTGCTCTGGGCGGGGTACTGCGGGCTGAGGAGTGGGCCGAGAGCCTGTGGGGAGCTCTGAGGCAGAGGCGAGTTGGTGCTCCCGAGCTTGGGAGAGGGCGGCCTGGGCATTCAGAGCTAAGAGAGGAGAGAAAGCGGGTGGAATAGTCAGGATGCCTGGCCCACCTCAGCCCTGAGCCACCTCCTTACTCTCTACTGCTCTGCTCTTTCTGTGCTTGAAACGTTTTCCCTGACACTCTATAGGGCAACTCATTCATTATCTTCTTTGTATCAGATTTGCTTATGTCCTTGACTCATCTCTCCCATCAGGACTAGGCCTGATTGAGCTCAGATTCTCCAATAGTGTATGGCACACAGGAAGTACTTACTCAATGCTCTTACTGAATGACTGCTCCTCTCTACAGCTGTAAGGAGAAAGCCCCAACCACAGACTCCACTGTCACCTCCCAGGACTACTGTTCCCAGACCTCTATCACACTTCTCCACCAAGCACACTTGGCCCCTCACCCGGATTATCTTTATCCACGTCTGAATCGAGCTCCTGACATGCCACGCAGTAGATTTTCCGCTGTTTGTCTTGGAGGAGAATCGTCTAGGGGGCAGAAAACACAGGGGTCAGGCGTGAGACGTTGGGCAATGGGGTCCAGAGAGTCGAGTTGGGGAAGGGCTGTGCAGCCTAGTCCGGGGACCCATCCCCGACCCCACGTCCCAAGTCTCTCCTCACCCCGCAGTCCGCGCACGTCTCGCCCAGCATGCGGTAACCACGCAGCAAGTAGTCGCCCATAAGCCGGGAGATGCGATCCTGCCGTTCCCGTCGCGCTTGCAGCACCTTCGTTTCCGCTTCGGTCGGAGGCTCCCAGGAGAAATCGTCGACTTCTGGGGGAAGAGGGACACAAGGCACCGGGGGGTCTTGCCGAAGCAGGCTGCCTCCCGTACCCCGCAGCCGCAGGCCCCCGCAGCTCAAGTCCTCACCAACGCCGTTCACAGCCATGTTGCCGTTGTCGCCGCTAGGCTCACCGGAAGTGACGCACAGGCAGAGCGCCTTCCGCTGGTTCCGCCCCCTCCATGTTGCGCAAAGAGTGATGGCGGAAATAACGCACAGAGTGCTCCTGGGACGTCGCTATGCCCATAGTAGGGCGTATCTGCTGCAAGCTTGACCCTGCGCAGTTCGCGCACCCCAGCGGCTGTCCCGTAAACAAAAACTTTCGACTGGCCGCGCCTCAGGAGAGACGTCTCCGTGGTAACTTGACTCAGGTCGCAGGACCCGGAAGTGGCTGCTTAGGGTCGCCCTTCCTGCCCGCCGCAGAGGGAGGGAACCAGTTGGCTCGAGAAATTCCTGCTGGCCTCCGCCTTCCTTGGGGTTTCCCTTTGGGGCGTCATCACAACAACACCCTTGATAATAACAAACGGCCCCTTGCGCGCGCGTGGAGCCCTTTCAGGCCTCAGTACTTCTCACTTCAGTCAGCAAGGCAGGCCAGGCGAGGATCGTTCTTGCTTTCTGTACCTTTCAGCCTATTTGTATGCTTGGTGTCTCAGTCTGCCCACCCACTACCCCAAGACCTAGGGCTGATGCGAAGTCAGCCACTAACTTTTCAAGTTAAGCCCTCAAATAACCTGCTGACCGAAAAGCATTTTACTGACCATGCACAGTTCGGGTAGCAGCCGCAGCTGAGTAAATGCATGCTGGAGAGTGGGGGTGAGGGGCTTATTACATATGCCTGTAACCTTTATGCTTTTCTTGGGTGGGTGGCTATTAAAATTACTAGTGCTCCCTAACATTGGTCTTGGTTATGTTTTTCTCTTCTGTGTTCTTTTCCATACACATCCTCTGCCTTATTAGGTCTGGAGAAGCCAGATGGTGCAGGCAGTGTTCCCCAAATGTGCAGCCTGAGGTGCCTCAAGGCTGTACACCAGGGCGGTGGAGAAGGAGCTAGGGCGTAGATTCCCCACAATCTCATCAACAAGCTCCCCGTTTGATTAGACGGCACATGCTTCTGCAGTCTTACCTGAAGATCGAGTGCCCTCCTCCTGGCCCCATCCTCCTCCCACATAGACTCTCTGGAACTGCCATTTTCTGACCCTTGCTGCCTCCTGCTTACTTGGAGAGCCCTGTGCCCCTCTTTTTTTTTTTTTTCTCCTGTGCCCCTCTTCACTCTCTCCATCTACCAGCAGGATCTTCAGCAGCAGTGTACCTGACTCAGGGCCTGACCCCAGGTCGGCTCTGCCAAACTGACAGAGGGATTCTTGAACTCTAGCCTGTATGCACAGACCCTCCAGGTCCTTACTGTCTTCAGTTCCCAGCCCCACCTTGAATTCCTCAGTGCACCCTTCTGTGTCATCATTATGGCTAATGTCTACTCCACAGCCTATTCTGCCTGGCACCAAGTGTAAGACCCTTACACGTATCCTCCCATTTATTCCATTTCATTTATTTCTCATGACAATCTTATGGGGTAGATACTACTGTTATCCCCATTTTAAAGAGCAGGAAACTGAATAATTCTTTTAAAACATAGATCATGTCACTCGTTTGTTTAAAACCCTCTGGCATTGTCCGATCACATTTAGACAAAAATCTAAAGTCCTTACTACCGTCTCCAAGGTCCTACAAATCTGGCCCTTGCATTCCTCATCTCCAACTCTCCCTGCATTCCTCCTGTCCCACTATGCAAGGGGATTCCCATCACCTTTCTCCACTCAGGGTCCCTCTCTGCTTCAAGTTCTACAGGAGGATGGACCAAGCACAGGCCTGGAATCAGGCAGGCTTGGTTTGATCCTGGATCTGCTACTTACTGGCTTGTCACCTGGAGTAATCTATTTCACCCATCTGGACTTCAATACCTCATCTGCAAAGCAGGGCCAGTCATACCTACTTAGCAGGGTTGCTGTGAGAATTTAGTGAGATGTGAGAAGAGAGGTGCTAGGAGATAGTTCTCTACCAGTCTCAAGTTTATGCATGTCTAGTAAGCAGAGACACTCCTTTTGTTCTGGACTCTCTTTTCCAGGATATTTGCATAGTGAACAGCCTTGGCCAACAGGGATAGTGGCTCCCTCTAGAGCAAAGGACTGGCAACTTACTGCCCATTAGAAAATATTTGGGTGACCTAAGCTCAAAGTTCCTCTCCTGTAACAGAACTCTGCTTGTGTATAGGCATCCATGCGAATCCATCTGTGTTGCCTTCATGCGACATGAGGGTAAGGGGAAGTGACACAAATAGGCTCACATTTATAATGCTGACTGTGCTAGGAGTAATGAAGTCCTTTGTCTCTGACCTAGAAATCTTAGGTCTTCTTCCAGCATCCATGAAATTCTGTCACTCTAACCTGACTAACCTGTTTGTTTGAAAGTAAGGTAAAATCAGAGACCTTTCACAGTTCTCCACAATTATGGCAATGAGAATGGGATGCTGACAGAAACATGTTTTTCTGTAAAAGGAAGAATGAGGACCTCATGGGCAGATTAATAGCTTCTGAAGGAAGGCTAAGGGACTCGGCAACACACATGTTAACCAAATTGTATAATCAACGAAGCAATAAATGGTCTTTGACTTTATATCCTGTTCTCAAGGAGGAATGAGGGAGGTAGTTGCAGGCCAAGTACCGAGAAGTCAGCTACCAGACATTGCCCTGGTTGTTGCTAACTCTCCTCTAGGTGGGGTTGGGGAGTGGACGGGTAGCTCCTCACAGTTTGGGTCAGCCTCAGGTCTGCCCCATTGTGACAGCCAGTACTAAGACTCACCCTGAGAGTACAGAAATTTTCACCCCTTTTCAGACAGCATTTACAGAGATGCACACACACACACACG